CCCTATTTATACCCTGCTGGTGGGTGTCACCACGAGGCCCTGCAGCTTCCCATGGGCTTTGCCAGCCTTGGTGCTCATGCCAAAAGTGATGTGCTTAGGAAATTTTGTCTTGGGTAAGTAATACCCATTACCCTTCTCTGCAGGTATGTCTATGCTGATTCACCCTAAGCACACACTATAATTTCACATGGGTGGCTCTTTCTTAGCTATTTTCTTGGATAATACCAGATCTCACAGCTTCTCCTATCCACCAATATATCTCTAGTAAAAGGAGTTTAATTAGAGCTCCACCCAGGTCATTTGTCTCCTTCCACCTTAATTTGGTAGAATTCTGTATTTCTCTTTTCTTGTCTCTCATTTATTGTAATGAACAATAATTTTTAAGTCCAGCTTTTTATTTTTAACTTGCATGAGATACTTGGAATTGCTCTTTCAGTTGTTGAAACATACAGCTTATTTTAAAAGCCCCCTTCCCATCTCTGTTTTAGAAGAGTAGTTTACTGCATTGTCCTTATTCCATTATTACGGCCTATACTAGGGTAAGGTCCTAATGGTAGGTGTTTTTTTCTGAAAATGCAAAATTGAGATTTTAATCATTTCTGTTGTTGAGTAAAACTGTGGTCTGCCACAGAAACACTTTGCAAGGGAAAGCACAGTATTTTTTTTTCTCAGAAAATACGCAGGAAATCCCAATAAATTTGATTTTATATTATGCATTTTTAAAGGAATTGGAGGAAAAGTGGAAGGAAATTTTAGCATTTCAGATTTTAATATTTCAGATTTCCTATTAATAATAGGCATTTTCAGAGTTGGATGTTGAATGATATAATGCAGTTGAAGAAACAAAATCAGTTTGATTGAAAGATATAGTACCAAAGATTAGATCTGTGAAAAAACATGATCATTAGCTGAACTCATTAGAGGCAATTGTGATGAGAGCTTCCCATCAGTGAGAGAATGTCTTCTGACACAAAACAGGCCCAAGACACAGCTTTGTATTTTTTTCCACTGCCTCTGCAGTTTGGGCTGCTCAAGGAGAAGCTTTTTCCATCTGTGCCCAACCCTTGGTGAACCCGTGAGGAGCCCTGAGAAGCGGCTCCTGCTCTGGCTTCCAGCTCCGCATCAAACCCGGCGTTGCTGATGCTTCCACAGGAGGAGCACAGGGAGCTGGTGGAACCTCTCGTGAGTTACGTGCTCCAAAGCGCATGGAGGGGGGATGAATTCAGCCTGCAAGTACAGAAGGAAGAGATTCTGTGTCACAGATGGAGAAATCATCTCACTGAACATGGCAGAAGAAGAGTGAGAAGGGATCGGTGCGTGGCACATGGCGGGGAGCATCAGAGGAGGGAGGACAGAGGTTTGGATGAGGGAGCAGAGTGCCTGCGTGTGCCGCGTGCTCAGGAAGGAGCTCGGGCTGGCGTCCTCAACGGCAGTGTCTTCTGGTTGTTTTCAGCTGGTTGGTTTGTCTGTTCTTTTCTTTTTTTTCATTAAATCCCCCTAGCCTCGGGGAGTCTTATCAGGAAGATATCGTTGAGGTGGAAAGGACCCTTCTGTGCTGTGTATTGCCCTTCATGGCAATATTCTCGTGTTGCCATGAGAATATTTGCTGCTGTCTGTAGAGGTACCTTAGTCCTTGGAGGATTAATGTGCGGAGATATAAGCTGAACATGCTGAATCCCAGGGCTTGAGCCGGGCTGCCTGGAGATCCATCTGTGTAGCTCTTGCCAATGGCTTCCAAGGAACATAGAGGAGCTCTGGCTCTAGCAGGAAAGGGATTTTGGGATGGAGAAAATAGTCCTTAAAAGGACACAAAACTGTGAACTTAAAGCAGAACCGAATCATGGAAAATATCTACAAAATTCTGAGTTATTTTTGCCTTCTTTTATCAGCTAGCTTTGTTTAGAAGCGCCTTCCTCAGGTCGTACATGATTTTGTAGTTGATTCTTTGTTCTTTATATGCTTGCAATTCTGTCTACTATTAAACGGTAAACTGCTAATCAGAATGTGTTGAGTCACCCATATAAAGGAATTAAAGCTCTTTCCACACTGGGTGCAAGTCCTTAGTCACACTTTCTTCATGAGGTTTATGAAATTCGTCCTTATTGTTCTGTATGGGAAGGCCGTTGCTCATTGCTTCAGTGTGTTACCGGTAATGTTGTATTTCTGATGCCTCCCAAAAGCCTGGCGTCTAATCCACAAATTCTGAAAATTTGTGAGTAATCACATTTCTAAATAATCACTGCATGTTTCTTTTGCTGCAGTTTGAGTCTGCTCATTGCACACGTTGCTTCGGGGGGACACAGATCCTGGATTTCATAATTCTCCATGCAGATTCCAGCTGTATCCCGCTTATCCAAACAGTCTCACCCTCCAGTTTCACAATTTTTTCTTCAGATTATGGACAAGACAAGAAGGTTCTTTATCCCCTGCTCACACTCACTTTTAATGTCCCAACCGATCCCAGGGGCTTCACATGAAACTCCTTCATTGCATCTCACATGGTCTCTTCTGAGGTGCCCTCTCCATACTCCTTGTCTTAGTTCCCTCTGAGCTTCCATCTCCAGGTGAGGAGGAACTTCTTCACTGTGGGGGTGCCAGAGCCCTGGCACAGGCTGCCCAGGGAGGCTGGGGAGGCTCCTTCTCTGGAGGTCTTCAAAACCCACCCTGATGCTACTGGGTGTCCCTGCTGGAGCAGGGGGCTGGACTAGATGATCCCTAGAGGTCCCTTCCAACCTGAACCATCCTGGGATTCTGAGATTCATCCTGTGGCACACACTGCTTAGTGCATGCGAAGCAGCTGTGTAAATAACGTCTCTTTCACGGGTGGATTTGAAGCGCAGGCCGAGGTGAGCGGAGGGAGCCCGTGTGCCCCTGCAGCAGGTAACCCCAGTGCTGTCCCCAGCGGCGAGCCCGTGGCCTCCGCACCCGTTGCTTGCCCTGGCATTGCCCGGCCCCCCTCGCTGCGAGCCTAGCGAGCCTCTCCTCTCTCCATCCCCACCCTTGTGAGTCGGCCTGTTCAGCCTCCAGTCCCTGGTGCTCCTTCCTCTTCCACACAGGACACGATTTCTCTGATATTCTCTGCCACTAGAGGCCACTCCCTGAGCACGTAGATCTGGATCCAAAGCTGGGCTTGTGACCTGCACCCTGCCCTTCTGCAGCCTGCTGGTAATTTGGCCCCGTGGTTGCTCTTGGGCACCGTGATAGTCTTTGGAGCTCCTGCCTTGGTGGGTAGGTAGGTGGCTTCACCGTAGACCTCCAGCTCTGGCCAAGTGCAGCACCTTCTGCAGAGACTCGTGGGCTGCATGGGCATGCGCTTCTGCCGGGAGGCCAGGCCTGTCTTTCTGGGGCATGTTTTGGCATGGCTTTGCATTTGCATTTCAAGTGATTACACCACAGAATTGAAAATATTCCTAGACACGGGTTTCTGGTTGCATAAGACAGAAACGAAGTTTTATTAGAGGTATCTTTTGGATACAGAATAACCATCAAATTGGAGGAATCTGTAAGCAGGAGGTTCGAATGTCGGTGCTGAACCCACGAAGCATTCCAGGTAGAAGCAGAGCATAGCGTGCAGAGCAGAGGGAAGGTGGCCCAACTGAGCAGCTCCGATGGGCCTGTTCTGGATAGACGGCACCTGAGGCTCAGAGAAAGAGGCAAGAGCCTCTCTCTCCTCAGCAATGTGGAGACTGCAGAGCGTTTGCGCAGATTTCTCTTTGGAGGGTCTGGTGCTGTAGGATCATCGGTTCTTAATCAAAAGACTTTCTTCCATATGCTGTTTAGAGACAAACAAGCCATTAATTTCAGCAGTGTTGGCACCAATCTCTGAGGCACCAGATAAAAAAGAAGCCTGACCATGTGATAGATGCTCACCAGCTATCAACAGAGAAAACTTCTCTGTTGCATAGAAATGGTATTTTTAAGGACATTCTGCAAAGAATTAGATGAAGAAAACCAGCTAAGGTTTTAACTACATGATATGCTGATGTCCTCTATGTATCTTAAGAGGAGTTGGTCCTTGGTACACAATTACGGATGATTCCGTAATACAAGTGAATTCACCACCAACAAGAAATGGTAGTTTATCCTCAGGACTGTGCTCAGATCAATGTGTTGAGGTAGGATATAAATCAGTAAGGTTGTGATGGACAGAATATTGTGTCGGGGTAACAGCTCTCACCTTGGTTTCCACCACCGCATGAGTGAGACTGGGACGATGAAGAGTAGGAGTGGGAGCTGCTGACGCCTCCAGAGACTCTTCCTCCGCCTCCTCCTCCTCCACTGATACTACCACTTCCCCCTCCTCCTCCTCCTCCTCCTCCTCCAATGATCCCGCATGATCCTCCCCCACTGCCTCCTCCCATCCCTCCTCCGCTGCTTCCTCCTCCCATTCCACCGCTGGAAGAAACACTGCCTCCTCCAAATCCTCCACTCATGCCACCGCTTCCTCCTCTCCCTCCTCCGGAGTAGCCACCACCTCCTATTCTGCCTCCTCCCATTCCTCCTCCCATTCCTCCCATTCCTCCTCCTGGGATGCTGCAAAGAGAGAAAGAGGGAGAGAAAAAAAGAAAAAAGAAGAAAAAAGATAATTAGTCGGGTACATTTTTCATCTCAGAAGGAGACCTCTCTCCAGATCTTGCTCAGAATCCTGCACTTCTGCTTTGGGAATTAGCCCAAATCAGCTATACAGCAGACACAGTCCCAAAAACCAGGCACCTTTTAATATCAATTTGAATATGCCCTGGAACTCGAGCGCGTTTATGAAGGTTAGAAAAGCCGTGGGCATTTCTCTGCCCCCAGCCCTTTCCAAGGCTATGTCTGTGCTCGGAATGAAGGCAGGGTCGTGTGTGAGATTCCTTGTCCACCCCAAAGGGGTGGCTCAGACCTTTGTGTTAATTTTCCTTCACGTGATCTCTATTCTGAACAGCTTGTCAAGAAATTGCCAGCACCTCACACCATGGAGGGATGGGTCAAGATGGCCAAATTTGCCCATTTTCAGCATAAAACCTGTTTTGCAAATCTAAACCATTTGTTGATGATTCACTTTGTGACTCAGCCATCATCCCTGGCTTTCCCACTGCTCTCATCTCTTGGCAGGCTACGTACACAAGGTCCTGCTGCCCTTCCTCAAGCAGGGCCCGGTACTGAGCGATCTCCTGCTCCAGGCGCGTCTTGATGCCCAGCAGCATCTTGTACTCCTCGTTCTGGCTCTCCATCTCGTAGCGGATGCTGGCCAGCTCCTCCTCCACGGGGCTGATCATGCCCTGGATCTGCTGCAGCTGCATGCTGTAGCGGCGCTCGGTGTCCTCCAGGTTGGACTGGAGAGAGTCCACCTGAGAATGGGAAACAAAATGTGATGGTTAGAGGAATGTACCAAGTTTAATTCATTTTGGGGGAAAAAAAAAATTTTTTGCAAAGATTTTTTTGCAAAAAAAAAAAATAGAGAAAAGCTTCTCTTTGGTGATTGCAGGTAACCCAGCACCCCTCTCCCTGCAGATGGAGCGATTGCAAAATCGGCCCCGTCTCTATGCGTGGAACGTCAGCCTGTGCCCTCGGGGAGGCAGGCACATCTGCCCTGACCTACCATGCTGAGCTGCGACTGCAGCTCGATTTCCAGGCTCTGATATTCACGGCGCAGCTCGGAGACCTGGTGGTTGCTTGATTGTATTTCCTGGCCACTTGAGTGCACTTGTTGATTAACTTCTTCCATCTGAAAAATGCACGTACAACATTAATGTATTTGGTTGTAAATGAGCAATGTGGGGTTATGAGAGAGGCTCTGAGAAAACCATAAATATGGCTGAGAGAGAGGTAATGTAAACTGTCCGTGCACTCTTCCCACATGCCAATCCATTCCAAACCTCTTTCTAATTCAGTGTATTACTGACACATGCTTTAATTTGTAACCTTAATAGTCCAATGCTCCTCTGTTACAGTGAGCAGCTAGAGCTAAGAGTGTAAAGTTTATGCACCTTAAACACTACGTGAAAGGCAGCTGCTCCTGTACAAGACATGAACAGGGCCTGCTCTTTGTGAAAGATTTAGCAAGTTATGGGTATTGTACTTTACCTTGGTTTCATACCAACTTTCCACCTCTCTGCGGTTGTTCTCAATAAGACGTTCATATTCATGGCGCATTTCATTTAATTTTTCCATCAAATTAATGCCAGGAGTAGCATTGACCTCCACATTGACGTCACCACCAGATTGTGTTTGCAGTCCTCTCATTTCCTGCAAAAATTGGTGAAAACCACAGGTTCTCAAAACGTAAAGGCAAGGAAAGCTCTTTGTTTGAAATAAAGGAAAAGAAATGGGAGGCAAATCTTTGTACATCTATACTGCTCCTCAAAAGAGACCTTATCTGTTCCTACCATGGAATGAAACATTTCTACCATTGCTGAGCCAGCTTTGCAGTGAGCCAGACAGCACGTACTCATAGGCCCTGACTTCTTTGCTTTGGGGCCCTAAGTAATTCCATGCCATGTGCTCTTTGGGAGAATCCCTTGGGGTATTTTTCTTCTCAATGGGAAATACTATCTCGGATAACATAAATGTTTTCTTTTGACTTCTCCATATGTACCATTCAGTTTTCTTGCTGTGACTTCAACAACAAAATTTTACTCTGGTAGTGAGAAATGCTTGCTTCTCTGCTCTCATTTTGCGTACTCTTGACCTAGATATTTTGCTATATCAGTTCCAGGCAGTGAGAGCTATGGAGACTGCTACATACTTCTGAAAATCAAAAACAGATCATCTCAAGTTGAAAAATCAAGGCCAGCACCTTAAATATGGTTATTCCTAATGGAACACATCAACAGGAAAGTCTTTAAGTGCTGACTTTTCATTAGTTATTACTTTAAGGTGTGAGGAACTTACCTCTTCATGGTTCTTCTTAAGATAGATCAGTTCCTCTTTTAGGGATTCATACTGTGTCTCCAGGTCGGATCTTGCTAGAGTCAGTTGATCCAAAAGTGGACGTAATCCATTAATATCACTAGCCACACTCTGATGGAGACTGTACTCAGTTTCATACCTAAATCACAAACAAGAAAGTTAGTAAAAGTTCTGCCAGACTCTGCTACCTTGTGAACAGTTCTCATTAGCACATCTTGGGCCCCGTTGCTCTTTCATTGGCCTAATGCTCTTTCCATCTCCAGCAGTTTTATTTGATTTTAGTGGAATCTATCTATAGGATTGATTTGATGAGGATTAAATTTATCAAGCCACAAGCAAAGATGGAGAAACTTAGACTGGAGTCCTTTAATAATTTGGTCCAAAATAATAATGAAAAAACAAACCAAAACTAGTCTGTCTTTTTCCAACAGTTAGCTGTAGTGTGGTTGGAGTCAAAACACTGTAGTGTCTAGAAAGATTGATTGGGAATATGAGTTCATGGGGTAGGACGAAGGATGGTGACTTGAGACCCAAGGGGAAGACTCACTTCAGTCTGAAGTCATCCACAGTCATCCTGGTGTTGTCAACGTCGAGAAGGATCCTGTGAAGGTCCACACCAGCATTAACAATCTGCAAGGGAGAGGACAGAAGACATTTGATCAGACACCATTTCAATCTGGCACAGAAGAGGCAAGAAATGTCTATGCAGATGCACACTGCAGAAGGTCCCCATGGGGATGTGAGGCCTGAGTAGCTGCAGGGAGAAAAGAGCTTGTTTCCATCTCAGCTAAAAGAAAGCGATGTTATATAAAATCTGTCCTGGTTGATGTCTTTGCTGTCCATTTTGGTTTACAAATATCCTTTCAAAATACAACACCTTGTTGGAAAGAATAATTGAACAAACTCCTTATTCTCCCCGCACAGTGGGAAATTCACAACCATTGCAAAGACATTTGAAACTCTTCAGACTGCTGAGGAACAGCATTAGGCTGGACACGACGGCCCACAGATTGTCTCGGCCTGTATATTCACAAAAAGAGGGAATTCCTCTATGGCTTTACTGGCACAACGTAGGCAAGACACAGTTGGATCTCCCACGTGAGTGAGTGAGGAGCAAATAGACAACAAAACCACGGGGTTAAGGGAGGCCCTGAGCAGTCCCCACGATGGAGGCACTAGGCAGGACCTGCCGTTGCAGCCAGCAGTGCCATGACCCACATAGGCCAGAGCAGAGCAAAGCTGGGCAGCCTACCGTGGGCTGCTTTAGGGCTGCCTAAAACCAAGGAGGGAGCACACCGGCCCAAAGAGAGCCTTGTGCTGGACGAGGCCAGGTCATTCTCATGATCATCTGCCCAAATTCAGTGTAATCCCACCGTACCTGGTTTTGCAGATCTTCAATTGTTCTGTAATATTGGCTGTAGTCCTTGGACCCAGTGGGCCCTTGCTTCTGGTACCACTCTCTGATCAGACGTTCAAGTTGAGCGTTTTCTTCTTCCAGGCCCCGCACTTTGTCCATGTAGGAGGCCAGGCGGTCATTGAGGTTCTGCATGGTCAGCTTCTCGTTTGTGGAGAGCAATCCGCCATCTTCACCAAATCCCATTCCACCAAAGCTGCCTCCTCCGTAGCTACCACCGCCAAAGCCACCGCTACCCCCAAAGCCACTAAATCCACCTCCACTGTAGCTGCCACCACCAAAGCCACCTCCACCAAGGCTGCTTCCGTAACCACCTCCCATTCCTCCAAAGCCACCTCCACCGGATCCAAAGCCTCCTCCCATACTTCCACAACCCATTCCTCCTCCTCCAAAGCTCCCACCGCTCATTCTCCCACCATAGCTACTACGGCTAATCCTTCCACAACTACCACTGCTAAATCCCCCTCCGTAGCTGCTCCTGGATCCTCCTCCACCAAAGCTTCTCCCGGAAAAGCCTCCTCCTCCTCCAGAAGAGGTGTACCTCCTGCTGGACACTGAGGAATACCCCCCAGACTTCCGCACTCCCCCGCTGCTACTGCCACCACCACCACCACCACAGCTGCCACCGCCACCACCGCCACCACCGCCGCCTCCGCCACTGGTTCTAGTGACGCTACTGGAAGACTTGGCGCCACAGCTCATGGTGGCAGCAGCAGGAGTCTAGTCTCGGTCCCAAATGGAGGTGCACAGCCTGATGCGATTCAGGGCTGTAAATTTGCATCCCCAGCTCTCCCTACTTATACTTTTGACAGTGGGTGTCACCACCGGGTGTTCCCTTCTCCCAGGGGATTTGCCAACTTTGTTGTTTGTGCCAAGAATAATTTGCTGAACAATATTTTTGTGCCGGTATCTCAAGCAATCTAGCACATTGATGGGTAAATACTGTTTAAGAAAACGCTGCTTATTTCTTTGGGTGGCACTTAATAAATTTATTTTTTTCTGGGATAGGGTTTTTTTGCTTTATGTGCCTTCATCTGCTTTACTAGAGAAAAAGCACTTTATCCAGCACTTTATCCAATTTAACTAATGCTGAGGTTAGTGGGACTATATATAGAGATTTTTTCTTCTCAGTTTTTCCCTAAATGAGATAACACGATTTCCAAATATTTCAGATTTAGATTGCACATTTATCTTTTAATTTATTCCTCTGCTTGCTCTGCTCAGATTTTTGTAGATGCTGTTTTATCAAACACTATTTTTTGCCCTTTCGTGTCATCAAAGCATTTTTTACAGTGCTTATATTCTTTTTCTTCCTGTAGACAGTAGTGTATGACTGACATTAATGAGGTTGTATAGGTTGTTTTTTTAGCCCGTGCAACCTGTATGTCCCTGTCTTAAATGAGAGAATATATGTATTTATAGCAGAAACCTCTTCTGGGATTCTTATTTTAAAAGTCAAAGGCCCTTTTAGTTTTTGAAGAAAGTGATAGGACAGCCTACAAGACAGCCAAGCCCTAGTCTTCCAAGAGAAGATAAAAAGTATTGCTTTCACCAAAGAGCTCTGCATCTAAAATCGTAGGGTGACTATCTCTAATTATAATGGAAAGTCAATTGTAGCACAATTAGAGTTGTATTAACCTGGGCAGTGACCTATAAACCACCGTGGGGGAGGGCGCTTGGGGATTTCATGTAAAACTGCTCGTTATCTGCTTCTTACTGTGCCACATATTGCAGGCAAGAGTCACTCTGCAAACTCGCATGGCACCAGCTCTACAAGAGCATCCTAAGAGCAAACTGAAAGACTCTGCACAGAGCAGTGGGAACTGTGCTGCCGAGACCACAGCAGGAACCAGGGCTCGGGTCCTGAAGGAACTGAGCTGAGGAAACCTTTTCATTGATTCTTCCTTCTAACTGCTGCCTTTGGCACTGAAAGAGAGTATCTGCGAGAGCTGCAGTGCTTCTGAGAACGCCGTAACAGAATTCTGAGCTGGGGGAAACTGTATTAACAAACAGCCTTCGGTTTCCAATGATAAATGCCTACAGAAAACATTTCTTATACTGTTGTTTCTTCCTTGTTGGTGGTGAAAACCAAATATTTTGGTTCAAGTGCAGAACAATTTCTGTAGCATCCGCTTTGCTCTGTTCTCAGCCTTTCATGTGATCTATAGCCGAGACTCCGCTCCCGTAAGCAGCATCCCTGCTGCTGCATGGGACAAAGCCCTGGAACGTCATCCTGGGCTCCTGCAGCAGCTGGACTGGAGCCCGGGGCTCCCTCCCTGCTGCTGTTCGGTCGGAACAAACTGCCCTGTTGGCCACTGGCAGTTTTGCTGCGTTTCTGACGTGTCCTTATTGCCGCCCTGTCCTTATCCCAGCATCTCCAAGGACGGCATTCTGCAGGTGGCAGGGCAGTCCAGCCCTTGCTTTCCAGCAGCCACCTTGGTTTGGAAGGTGTCTTTACGTTGCTCTTGCTTTCTAGAGTCAGTGTCATCTCTTGCCAACTGTATTCCTAATTCCTAACATTTTCACTTTAAATCATGCATTATTTAACATTTTCGGGTTGAACCCATTGTCCTTGCCTCTGAAGCTGTGCTCTTGCCAGCGTTGCTCTATTGCTGCTTGAGCAATCTCTTTCAAAAGCTCTCTGATTTTATCTTGCCGTTTGACATTTGGCACACAAGTGATGAAAGATTGCAAGCAGCGTGATGACGGGATAATTTGGCCCCGCTTCGCAGCTGGAGGAAGGCAGTATCACTTCAGCAGCGTAAACACAGATCTGGACCTTTGGTGCCTTATCTTATTGGAGCTGAAAGGTGCAGCCAACCTCAAGCAACACGTCTTTGGGTTTGTGATGTTTCCCCTCAATGTTGGCTAGGTGGCTTTGCTCCATGGGGTCTTTTTTGCCAAATTCCAGATCACTTGTGTTCAATTGCCCATCATGGATTGCCCTGAGACGCTCTTCATGTGAGTGCTATTCACAGGCAAGCTAAAAGGATCCATAAGGGATTTAGTGCTAATGAACAAAAACCTCCAGGATTCTTGCAACAAGAGGACAGATGTTTGCCAGAAGAGACTCTTAACCTGCTTATGCACTTCGTGAGCATCTGCATTATTTCCTCTTTTATTTTTAGGCTGCCTGTTGTACAGGGACTTGCCCCTGTTCATAGCAGGGACTTGTCCTTTTGGAAAGCCCTCCAGATAAGGGCCTATCTCACTGCATGCTTGCAAAGTAGTTGAATAGTAAAAGCAATTAAAACAAGTCAAGCTGCGGAGGAAGGAGAGCTTTAGATAATCTCAAAATTTCTTGGTAATTCTGTGCTATTGCCACTACTGATATAAAGGAGGAACTCTAGTGAAAGATACTGCTTTTAGATCTATGGTGGCATTTAAGTGCTGTGCTCTTAGGATGATCCTTTTTTATCTTCAGTGCTGCTATTGCTTCACTTTGCAACCAATTTGATCCAATTTGAATTTTTTTTTCAGTTCCTGCCAGTAAGAGAAGATCCTTTCTGTGAACAGATTTAATTCGGCCTTCCTGAGATTTGGTTTCCAGGAGCCAGCAAGAATCTTTGTTCTCCGATGCTTTTCTTAATGGATGGCATAAAATTTTTAGTTTGCGGAATTACCTGAAAAGAACTGCTAATTTTAGGACCTTTTCTCATCTCTTTGCTGTGCATGATGCAGTTTAATCCTCAATGCTTTCGTGCTGATACAGCATCCAATGTGCTATGTAACCACAGCCAGCAACTCCTAAAGCAACTTTGCCTCTCTGGGTCGTTCCTGTGACATGGGCTCTGGAAGGACCAGGCAGCTGCTTCTCCCAGCACAACAGTTCAGAGAAATGACACTTTTCCTGCATTTCATTCTGACCCAGGACACAGTCCCGGGTATTTGCACATGGGCTGACAATTAATGTTAAACAATAAAGAGATCAGCTGAGTATACGAATAGGCAATTTTGAAATTTGCTCATATAATTACAATTATCCCTCCAAACAGGCAAATGAATTGCTTTAAGAGTACCGAAGCTGAACATATAGGAGTGTATATGCTCATTTATTTTTGCCTAAGGCTCTTCTGCAGGTCTTGTTCCAACATGTGCTGCAATTTTCTTCTTGGGGCACACGATATGTATCCAAATTGCAACATTTTGTGCTCATAAAATTAAAGCTTATTATTTAGATTATGCCTAACAAAGCGCATGCAAATGTCAGGTTTCTCCTTGCAACTCTGTTTAGACAGCTCAGTCCCACTCTCAGCATTCCCTGAGCTTCGACTCCCAACTCGGCTGCAGTTGGATTCCGTTCCCAGGGCCTGCAGTTGCTTTGGTTTTCTAGCTCTGAACACTCACAAATCTGTATTTATTTCTGTGTATAATTACAACATAGCAATGCAAGCATTTACAGCAGCATTACGCAGTGCAGTGTCCCAGCACGTTGTGCCCCACGTCCCCTCATTTGCTTGGTGCACGTTGTCGGACGCGGTTCTGAGCCGTCTGCTCACCTCAAGGTCTCTCTTTTCTGGCCTTTTCCAAGTTATATTGTTTTGCTCTCCCATCTGTTTGTTTCTGTGGAATTTCTTCTGCAAGACTAGAGATGTGGGAGTTAAGTAGCTGTCTAGGCAAAGACTGGAAGAAATTTGTGGTTTTGAGTTAAGAGAGAGGAGCCAGAGCCTCCCAGAGCTGCTCCTACAGCACAGAGTACGTCCTGAAACAGGCAAACTCATCCCTTAAATAACCCACGTGTGTCCCCTCCTTGTTGGCCTCCCAGGCATTGCTATGAGGGCAGGGGATGGCTTGTAAATCACGTTGGAAAAGCCATGGAGCAAAAACTCGGGAGGAGGCCGGTTCCTGCGGGAGGCCTGGGAAGCTGCTCGGGTGGGAGAGGCGCTTCGGTCACCCCATGGTCCAATCTTGCATACACAGAGCAAGGAAGAGGGGTGTCACAGCCTGCAAGGGGACCATAACTAGCAGGATAAACCGGGAAAGTGGTTTTGTGGGTTAGGCAACGATACAGAGACAGGCGTGATCTGCTGCCGCACGGGTCTAAGCGGCTGCCTTGGCAATGGGAAGGAGTTGGGGGGTTCCTGCAAACGGCGGGTCCTGCTCGGCACCGTGGGAGCCCTCAGGAGGCTCGGCCCCTTCCTGGGCGCCCGGCCGTGCTCGGAGGAGGATCCTCCTGCCGCTCTTCGGCCTGCTCGGGGGGAGGCCGCGGCGGCCGCGTTGCGCAAGGCAGCTCCCTGACTCACCGGCCCACGTCTGCTTGCGGCTCGGGCGTTCGGGATCCCCGTTCCCACGCTCTCCCCCTCGCCTCTGTTTCTCAACCTTACCCGGCGGGTGAGGCCTTGGCCGGGATGAAAACATCTCTGCCTGCAAAAATGGGAGGGGAAAGTCCGTCGTGGGGATAATCCTCTGCGGCCCCTTTTGTTTGTGTGCGGGTAGATGGACGTGCGAGGGAGAGGGAGGATGGTGGGAATGGGGTGATGTGAGAAGCCCCTGGCCACCTTCCTGGGGACCCCCCATTCACCTGGGGGAGCTGCCGTCAGAGCCCCCACATCTGCGTTAGCCTCAACAGAAAGCAAACAGTAACTGCTGTGCATGGAGAGGGATCCTCCGTCCGTTCGTCCATCCATCCATCCATCCATCCATCCATCCATCCATCCATCCATCCATCCCTCCCCTGAGCTCCCACCGGCCGCACGAGGATGGGACAAGGGCCGAGGTGAAGGCAGAGCCGTGTCCTGTGGGGTTGTCCCATGGGAACGTGCTGCTCTGACCACTCCATCACCTCCCGGCACCCCCGGCGCCCCCGGCCTCTCCTCTCCCAGACCTTTCATTCTCCTTCTCAGCCTCCTCAGAAAAACGGGGGTTTTGGCTTTTAACCGAATCTTAGGAATCTTAGGGAGAACCTGCACGTCTAGGCTAATGCCCACGGAGGCACCGTGGCTGCACACATCCGCGCGCAGAGAAAATGCTTAGTGAATCTCGGAGTTAATAGGAGAAAACAGTAGGTTTTGGCTGCGGTTTTTTCCACGGCAGGGACAACCACGGCGTTTCACTTGGCAGTGAGCTCCCCGGGATCGCTGTGAACGGTTGGGGCTCTTGCACAACCTAATTGACTTGTTACTGTGCCCTTCACAGGTAGGCCTTGGTATTTGTGCCTGAATCAAATAAAAATATCTGCTAAAGGAAATTACTGACAGACGAGACTTTTTGATTGCATCAGAGAGAAGTAAAGTTTTATTAGAGTCTTTTTCATTTTCCAGAACACCACCAATCACGGCAGAGATTCCCTCAGGAAACAGAGATTAGGCACCGAAACACAGGCGGCAGAAGCAGTTAGGTCATCCGGAGAGCTGGCACGAGCCACCTGGAGCGAATGTGTTGAGTAACTCCAATAAATATCAGCTCCTGCTGGCGGGGACCTCAGCTGGCACGCCTGGGCTGCGGCCGCTGGGACCCTTCTGCGGTGCAGGGTGCGGGTTTTGCCCATCACTTCTCAGACTTCCTAAAGCTCCCTGCAGAAAGATGAAGCAAAAACCTTCCTTGAACAAAAAACAAACGTCTCTTTCAGCATCTTTAATATTATTTCAAAATCATAGATGGTGCAGTTCGTAGTGGACTAGATCTTCTCCCAGCCTTCTGGAAAGGTGGGAGCAAGGTCAGACTTTATGTTTGTAGATGCATGTGTGGTTGCAGCTTTATCATATTAAATATATGGACCTGCCTCTTTTTTTTTCAACATTTTCAGATTTTTAATTTTTTTTTTTTGAGTGGCCAGGACTTGGAGCCTTACCTGACTTCATGGTTTTTATGGCTTCAGTCACTTCTTCTATTGTTGCTCCTCTATCCAGGGTTTTATTCCCTTCCAGGCAGAGCTTCAAGGAGCCCCCTGTAACCACAGCCATAAAATTAGATGTGGAGAAGACCTTCTCCTCACTCACCATCCTTTGCTGCTTCAGAACCTTAGCAGCTAATGCTTCCTGTAATTTAAAACTCCTAATTGATTAAATATTTTTACCAATTCAATAAATTGGTAACATTTGGCTTTATTCAGAAGCTACTGACTTCCCTGGTTCTCCATGTGCTTTATCTGCACCTTAGCGGCTTCCTCAAAGCTGTGTTAGCAGAATCTCAACTGAGGGCTTGTTCTTCCCTTCAGACACGTGTTGTCCTTCCACAGTCCTCCCATACACCCTCCCAATCCTCCTCTTTTCACTTTTGCTACTTCAGAAAACGCTATCGTGTTAATATGGCAACTGCATGACAGTGAAAATACGTGATATTCTGTGAAAACCAGTAGGAAAAAATCTCTGAATTTCTGGGTAAGGACGGAATTTTGTGTGTCCTTTCCTGCTACTCCAAGAGAAGAGTTCATGTGAGAGGGGCTCTTCTGCTCGCTCCTTACCTTGGCTTTCGCAGGAGCTGCCGGAATGGGCCTGGGAAGATGAGGAGTGGGAGAGGCAGGACTTGCCCCGTCCTCCCTCGGCGCTGCCGCTGCCTCCGCCACTTCTTGCTCCACTCTCTCCTCCGCTTCCATGGCTCTCCTCCACAGATCTTCTTCCACCACTTCCTCTGCTCGGGGACCAACAGCTTCCTCTTCCGCTGCTTCCTCTTCCAGAGGAGCCGCCAGTTCCTCCGTGGCTTCCTCCGCTGGTGGATCCACCACCAGCTCCTTCTCCTGAGGTGCTGTAAGGGGGAAGAAGCAGTCACGAATACGGTTTATCGCGACATGACCTATCCGACATGCTGGTGTCAGTCCCCTGATTCCTTGTGCAGCTGGGAAAGGGCTGCTCCAGATCCAGGTATAAACAGAACTGCGCTTCCAGAGGAGGAAAGGAAGGAGAGGGAACGGCTTTGCCTTGGGCATTTAGAAGGTGCAGTTCTTGTCTTGCTCGTCATTTTCATATATAACTTCGTATTCCCTGATTATGCTTATGAGAGGAAATGGCAAATTACAGTTCTAGATACTTCTGCAGACACTTCGGTCCAGTTCATAATGACCAGCTAAGATTTAGCACAGTGTGACTCCCAAAGCTGGTGGTGAATGTATCGATGACAAACCAGTCATTGCCCCAGTTCTTCACATATCGCTGCCACTTCCACCTTCAGCCCTTTGCAAGGATGGCACATTAACCCCTATGGATATACGTACCTAATATTCTGCTGTCCCTCCTGCAGCAGGGCCCGGTACTGAGCGATCTCCTGCTCCAGGCGCGTCTTGATGCCCAGCAGCATCTTGTACTCCTCGTTCTGGCTCTCCATCTCGCAGCGGATGCTGGCCAGCTCCTCCTCCACGGGGCCGATCATGCCCTGGATCTGCTGCAGCTGCATGTTATAGCGGCGCTCGGTGTCCTCCAGGTTGGTTTGCAAGGACCGTACCTAAGAACGGGAAGCGGAATGCGATGCTTGTGGGAATGTGGCAAGATTAGCCCATTTTAATGCCCCAAATGAAGAAAAAAACCTTTGACAGCATCAGATGCACCAAGTAGCTCCCTCTTTGCTTGGAGCACTGGTAATAGCTGCCCTATCATCCCAGCGGCGCGCGGGGCCTTCGTCACGTACCATGCTGAGCTGCGACTGCAGCTCAATTTCCAGGCTCTGATATTCACGGCGCAGTGCAGAGATCTGTTGGTTGCTTGATTCTAATTCCTGGCCGCTGGAGTGGACTTGTTGACTCACCTCCTCCATCTGAAAAATGAATATAGAGAATTCTGTCTTTCCTGAAAGACAGGAGTCTTTCAGTTTTACTTAGGAGGTCCATACATGAGATGTAAATAAGCTATATAGCATATAGCATACTGTTGGAAGAGAGAAATACTTATCTTTGGTTTAATGAATAGATTTCTGCTCATGTAAATGAGGAAAATCTACATGAATGTTCTAGGTGCTTTTGACTGTGTTTAAAATCAAATAGATTCAGATCTGCAGTACTTCCTACTGACTGCCATCTGTAAAGAGGGATTCAATGCTCACCTTGCTTTCATACCAACTTTCAACCTCTTCACGGTTTTTCTGGATAACTCTTTCATATTCTTGTCTCATATCATTCAGCTTTTTCAGCAGATCCTCTCCTGGAGCAGCACTGACTTCCACGTTCACGTCGCCACTGGACTGTGCTTGCAGTGATCTCATTTCCTGCAGAGAAAAAACAAAATAGAGAAACCACCCCGTGAAACAGGTTGGAAAAATGCCTTCCAGGGGTCGATTCGCTTCCTCTGCCATCAGCCTCTAGACCCATCTCCGTCCTTGCTTGCCTCTGCAGTTTGCGTTTCCAGGGGATGGCCCTTACCTCCTCATGGTCCTTCTTGAGGCTAATGAGCTCCTCCTTGAGGGACTCAAACTGCATTTCCAGGTCAGACTTGCCCAGGGTCAGGTCGTCCAGCATGGGCCGCAGTGCGTTGATATCGGCCTCCACGCTCTGCCGCAGGCCGTACTCCGTCTCGTACCTGTGCCGGGGCGAGCGCGGAAGGGTCAGCCCCGTTTGGGCTCCTGCTCCTACCAACATTATCCCTGAACACTGTCACACATCCAGTTCTCTTCATTTCTCTTCCATGCCTATACTTTGTTACGCAGAGCATCTCTCAGTCAGCAGGACTACGAAAGCAGCAGCCAGCACCTAACATTTAACATTTACAGGTTCTATATGGACCTTCTCGCCTTCTCTCCTTACCACAGCCTTTGGGCAGGTTTCATGCAGCTAGATTGCTGGTTTTGTGCTGAGTGAAGTTATGCACGCTAAGGAAAGTAGGCGAAAGGAAGGCAATGCCTGGAGAAGGTGAATATGTACTTACTTCATCCTGAAGTCTTCGGCGGTCATGCGTGTGTTATCCAGGTCCAGAAGCATCCTGTTAGTTTCAACAGCTGCAGTCACAAGCTAGAAGAGAAGACAACAAGCTGAGACCTCTGAAAGACCCCAGGTTTGCCCGAGGGACACAGTTGCTAAACGCAGAGGCCCGGGAAGGTCATCTGCAGTGCAAAACAGAGTGGTGCCTCTGGGGAAGCAGCCCCAGGAGTGTGAAGGCTGCACACTGTGGGCTCAGAGAAGAGCCCTGCCAGCAGAGCAGGAGTCACTGCCTTGTGCACAGGCCAAGACCGGCACCCTGGCCTTGCACCCAGCACCTCCCCAGGGACGTTGCTCCCTGCTCTGTCTCTGACGGAGCTTGGGAAGGGAAAGTGCAAAGCTTTTCTTGCTCATGTCTGAGGGCTATCCACAGGGGTATCTAGTGGAGAGGCAGGATTCCAGGATCCTCAAAGCTTTCCTCAATCACAACACCCATGTCTGATGCTTAACACTTCTCTGAGAACACCCTACCTGTTTCTGAAGGTCTTCAATTGTTCCATAGTAGTGGCTGTAGTCCTTGGCACCAGCGGGCCCTTGCTTCTGGTACCACTCCCTGATTAGCTGCTCAAGTTGAGCGTTTTCCTTTTCTAAATTTCGGACCGTCTCCATGTAGGAAGCCAGGCGGTCATTGAGGTTCTGCATGGTCAGCTTCTCATTGCCGGAGAGGAGCCCCAAGCTGCCTCCACCAAAGCCACCGCCGCTGAAACCACCCCCGTCCCCACCGAAGCTGCCTCCATAACCACCACCGAAGCTGCCGCCGCCTGGTCCAAAGCCTCCAAAGCTCCCACCGGAGCCCATTCCCGCTCCGTAACCACCACCGCTCATGGCCCCTCCGTAGCAGCCTGTGCTCATCCTCCTTCCATAACCCCCGTAGCTCAGGGCCCCTCCGTAAGCGCCGCTGCTTGTCCCCCCTCCGAAGCTGCTGTGCCTGATCCGGGCCCCGCTGCCGGCCCCGCCGTGGCTGCTCCTGGAGCTTCCTCCACCACAAGCGCTACCCGCCGTCCTGCCGGCACCGCTGCTCCGCGAGGAGCCGCATCTTTGGGAGGAGGCGGAGGAGAACGTGCCCCCGGCACCGCCGCCGCTGCCGCCGCGCAGGCAGCTCTTCAAGGGCTGCTTGGAGCCACAGCTCATGGTGGTCGCGGGCAATGGCTTCGGGTTACTACTCAAAGCTGCTCTTACAGTTGTCCTGGAATCATAGCTCCAATTCCCACCCTGCCCGGTCTGTATTTATAGTGGGGCAGTGGGTGTCACCGCAGCAGGGAGCACCTTCTTGCCATGTGCATTTGCAAGCGCTGGGTCTTACGCCAGGAGCAATTTGCCAGGGGTTGATGTGTGACAGCGCCAGGAAGCTCAACCCCTACTCAAGGTGTTTGTGACCACTTGTTTATTAATACAGAACATGTAATTTCTGTTGGGTGGCTCTGAACTAGGTGGATCTTTCCTGTGATTCTGCTCCGCTTATTTACAGCCATCTGAATTAAACTCACCCCACTCATCTCATCCCATTCACATCCCTTCAAGCACTGTTGTAATACGGAATAGTAATGGTCTACTCTCTCTCTTTTAACATAATTTTCCCTAGCGATTTCCTCTTCCAGATATGCATCAAAAAATCAAATTGACATTTTATATTTAAGTGATATTTTAATATGCTTTGGCTTAGGGATATATTGTTTCCCTATGTTTAGTCTTTTCTGGCTTTATGCGCCTTGAAACCACATTGCAGGTTATGTTTTGCAGATACACTTGGCCTACTCTAATTTTCATAGTTTCTCGTAAAACATAGTGAACACTGGCAAATATAGTATGAGTCAGTAATTTATTGCCAACATGCCTCCACAATTATGTTATATAAATAACAGTTCCATTATGAAAGAATTGTATGACAGCAGCTTGCAAATGGCTGAGCGTAAGGCTGCGAGGAGAGGAACGTGACGGTCTGTGGCAGGAAATAACTCATTTTATTTGACACCCCTGGCAAATAACGGGGGGTGCAGAGCGTGCACAGCACCGGCCCGGTTGGGTTGACCTCTTGTGCAGCTTGTCGCAGACTGGTTGGCTTGGAGAGAGCTGGGCTGCTTTCAGGACATTTAGGGAATTCTACATTTCCTGGAGTCTTTAATCAAATATAAATACCCCGTTGAAGAATTTTAAGTAAGCACATTGTATGGATTGCACCTCAGCTCGTATACGCCAGACTTCATTGAACGTTCTGTTGTTGAGATTGAGTCAGTAATAGGTACAATCAAGTAGCATATTCCTTCCAGTCTTGATTTCAGTTCATGGACACAACATGACCCAAAAGAGAGACCGTATTTGCTACCTGCGTCCTCTTCATTTAAGATTTTCTATGTCTTTTCCAAACACGTGGCGGTGGATGGTTCATGGCAGCATCGTCCTGGCTCTTGCTGGGCCTGAGCCTCAGATGCCCGACGCTGCTCAGTGCCCTTTCCCTGCTTCACATCACACATGCGCTCGGATGGCCGTGGTTCGTGCAGGGTGACCAGGTTGTGTGACATCGAGTGGCCTACATTGATTTGTGGAGTTGTTTTTCTCTCGCTCAGCCTTCGCGCTGTTGATTGTTGCTAATTCAGAGTTGTTTGTTATGGCTTATGGCAACTGTTTGTGGAACTGTCTTTCCGTACACCACCCCTCCACGCACACCCTCCCACACACCTGGACACACCTCGGGTTTCGTCTTCCCTAGGCCTCCTTTCTGATCCATCCCAGGCAGCCAGTCCTTGCCAAGCCTGAAGTTTAAATGGTTCTGTACAGCTTTGCCAAGCCTAGTCTGGATAATCTTGCCTTGTTCCAGGGAGAATCCCTTCCTCTCGCAGTGTCCTAATCAGTGTTCTCAAGCTACAGCTATTTGGTATGAAGCTGCCAGGTTACACTCCATTTAACTGCTGGTTTCACAGTTACTGTTATGAAAACATCACTACGTTGCTGTTTTGTCTTGCTTAATTCTTCAGGAAGACAAGTTCTTTTCTTGGAAAGGTGCTTAGTGCATCATTTGCACGGATCTCCCACGTAGGAGGAGCGAGCCGCAGGTCTGCAGGCACCAGGGAGCGGGTTGCACTGACCGAACCCCAGGGAGGATCCTGCGGGCACCGCACTTGGGAGCCCCTCCTGGCCTAGCCCCTTGTGCCCTCTTTGCACCAGCCCAGCCTCTGAGCTCACCTTTAGGATCTTGCCCTAGACGTGCACGGCCTTGGACATGGGCACAGGTGGCAAGGGAATCCTCTGCCAAGACCCTTCTGCCACTGCTGCACTGGTGCACGTGGCCTGAGGGGCTCCCAGTGCCAGGAACAAGTGCCGAGGGTCTCTGGGCCACTCGCAGAGCTGCCCACAGCTGTAAAAGGTTAAACAGGAGTTAAAGGAGCTGAGGGAGCTGTAGCTGGGTCTGGGTGGGTGGTTTTTGCAGGTGCTCTGGCCCTGTTGCTGGTTGTGCCCTCCTGCTTGGGTGGCTGTTCTGGAGAAGCTCTGGGTGTCTCGCACAGGTACGAAAGGGTGTGAAGGGAACTGCCCGGGAGAGCTCAAGCGTGATGGGTTTTGAAACAACCTTTGTGGGTGCTGGTGTGGCTCATGGTGAGGACGTGGGGTTGGGATGTACCCTGAGATCCTTCCCTTGCGTGTGGCCTGATGTGCTGCAGGGCGCAGCGAAGTAGGAGGTGGTGGAGGAAGGTGCAACGGGATGGGTGATCTCAGTTGTTTGTAGTGAAGCTTCTCCCCCTGCCAGCAATGAAGCTGTTGCTTGCTGCTGCCTGAAAGGCGCCGCAGGGAGGGGGACAGCATGGTCCCCAACCCCTTGTTGATGCTTCAGTTAGAATGAAGCCTCTTTGATCTTGCTTTGGGTGATCTTGTGGTGAAAACTGGCTTTGCTAGCGTTGCTCTGCAGAGCTGGGGAAGCTGTGTCTGGGGAGCGTGAGTCTCTTGTCCAACTATGCTACAAACTAATATCCATTATATATTCATCCAGCTGTTTTTTAGCAGATAACTCACAACACTTGCCCCGTTGCTGAGGCCTGGCTGGTGCTGGGAAAGCTCAGCTCTAATTTGAGCCTGTGCGCTGCCCTTCCTGCTGAGCCGCCCGCCTGACGCGGAGCATGAAGGGCTCTTCTTTGCCTTAAATAATGAGGTGCTTTTTATTATCCTCTTAAAAAGCCAAGTGTCTGAAAGCAAATAATTTGAGACATTAGTCCCAATACAATTATGTTTATTATCTTAATAGGGTATTAGCTGGAATTGCTAAACAGGGCAACCCATATGGAGGAGTTCCCAGCCTCCTGCCTGGAGTGTTTTGAAGCCTCTTCCCCACACTGAGCTGCTGGCAGTGGGTCCTCTGGAATGATTTTGGGGTTGAAAATGTCAATACTGGCCCCCCGACAAGTAAACCAAGAGGTTTGGTTGTCTCAAAATGCATTTCTATACCTCGAGACAGTTGTGTTGGAAAAAATGAATCCCGCTCCTATCCTGCGGTGAAATCCATGGCTGAGGATGCCGTCTGCTCCGACGGCTGGTGCCCGCGTCGCCATCTCGGCGCCCTGCTGAGGCACCAGCCGGTATCTCCAGCATCGCTGGGCGCGCGGCCGCTTTCCTGCTGGGAATCTCTCTGACCAGGTAGGATAACACCAAGCTTGAGGGCTTGGCGAAACTCTACCCAGAGCGTCTGTTTGTAAGGGCACGTTCCCTGTGTGCCGGTACCTACTGCTGTTTTTTTTTTTTTTTTTCCATGAGTGTTCTTGCAGTCCCTGTGTTGAAGCCGGGGTGTGGGACCCCGCGTGCCCCGTGCGGGTGGCAGCGTGGGGCCAGCCCTGGCACGCGTCCCGTGGGGCCAGCCCTGGCACGTGTCCCGCGGAACCCGCGGGCCCTGCGCCGTGTTTACCGCCCTGCGCTGCCCTCCTGGCAACCGTAACCGGGAGGCTCCCGCCCCACGCCTCCCCTTTGGGGGAAAGGTGACGCTGACCTTACCGGCCCTGTTGGTCACTGCAGGGCCCACTGAAACGTTACCGGCACCGCGAGCTCCATCCGATCCCCTGGAGAGCGAATGGGATGGGAGCGGGGCGGGATGGGCTGCCCGCGCAGCACGCGGGGCCATGGAGCCCCTCAGGATTCCCTGCGCTCTCCCGGGTGGGACCCCGGTGAGTGACGGGAGGGCCGTGACGGGCACAGCCGCCGCGCGCGGCCGCCCAGGCCGCTCCGGGCCCGTGGAGCAGTGCGGCCCAGCCCGCAGCGGCTCCGTGCAGCGACCCGGTGGGTCCTGCAAGAGGCTGGGCTGAAACCGGCCTCGTCCCTGCGCGGCGCCGAGACGCTGCTCGGCCTGGCTGGGAGCACGAAAGCGGCTCCGCGCGGCCCTGCGCGGCGACGGCGAGAGCCGAGTGCCCTCTAGGGAGAGCTGAGGAGCAACGCCAGGGCACCCGCTGTGCGTCACTCGGGCTGGGCACCTCCTTGTACCTGGTGTGTGTGTCACACCAGCCGGGCGCCTCCTTGTACCTGGTGTGTGTGTCACAGCGGCCCGGCGCCTCCTGACATGGCCAGCAGGACCCGGTGGTGGCAGCAGGAGGGACGATGCTGCCTCACATCCCTGGAGCGAATACGGGCTGCTGCAGGTGGCCATAGGAAGCACTGAAGTCACACTATATCCCATGTCAGTTATTACTTGAGTTGCTTGGCATACTGCCCCGGTTTGCTATAGCTTAGCCGAACTTGGTGCACCTCACCAGGAGGGTGGAGGGTGCAGGTCCCACCGGGATTGATATCTGGTCCCGGTCTTGCCTTGTAGTGCCTGGCAGGGCGCGCAGGCGGTGCCGGTGCCAGAGTGAGTGTCGGGAGCAGGACCCGAACGGCCCCAGGGACCCGCTGGCACTAGCAGAGAGACCCAGAGGCGCTGGCGTCCGACCTGCCAGGGCTCACGCAGCCCTTGCCACCTTCCCCTGCGCCTCAGCCCCAGCAGCACTTGCCTCTGCTGGTGATTCATTCATTCCAAAGTATTTGATATTAGATAAAAGCTGTGGGCATGAAGATCTTGGTGCCCAGCACGCCCGGCCCGCCTCTTGTTCTCACAAGCTCGTTCATTCTTTGGAGAAAACACAAATATTCTCGCGAGCTGCATGTTGACTTTCCATGGTTGC